TTAATTAGTAGCATATAATAATTGGTATATATTGTAACAATGCATTAATAAGTTTTTTTCACTGTTGTAATATTCAACTGATCTCATTTCACAAAATGCATAAAAAAAATTAAACAGTTTTCTCAAACGTGATTTTATTAGGTGAATATCGAATTTGTCGTAAACACAATCTGTACTCCTGTGTTTTTAATTATGTATGTCNAATAAAACATACAATAATAACAAATAATGACGTGTGTGTGATAGAAATAAAGACGCTGGAGAATAATTTTTGAGAAACACATACCTTTATGCTTAATATTTTATGAACTTTAAAAATTGTTAGTAAAACCTATTCGCAAAAAAAAAGATACACACTTACATACAATCATATTTGACATTTATGTATTTAAACCAGCAATTAGTAATTCTTTTTTATATAATACTTTTTGTGTTATATTTGTGATTTTAATAACATGTGTATTTCTTGTTTAAAATACCTTTATAATATAATTATACAAAATTATTTTATAGATACTAACTACACAGATGCTTACTGTTCTCGGAACTATATGCCTCTTATGTGTCAACGAAATTACTTCTTCTGTTCATGAGAATTTTTCTCCGCACTGTATAGAACCGAGGGAATATATTCTGAATGTTTCTGCGGAAATACAACAAAATTCTCTGATTGTTGATTCTCTTGTTAAACTGAACGTTCAGTGTTCACTGCAAAACATAAAAGTTTATTTCGGACGTTACTGCAAACAACCAAAACTTAACATCATGACTAATGTTTGTTCTAAATTTTCATCTTTATTTTGGGAAACAGAAGTTTTGCCATTTTTTTCGGAAGATCGATTCAAAAGCTTGAACATCAGCTTTATTAAACATAATATCCAACACTTTAGAATACAACAACGAATAGTAAATGTAGAACATGGACTGTGGATATCAGCAAAATATAATTGCAGTTTAGATAAAGTTATGAAAATTTATCCATTTATTGATGAAACTAAAATAGAAAAGTAAGTGCATTAAATACTAATACAGAAATTATTTCTTCTTTTGTACTGTTGCAATAGAAGTTATAAAGTTTTTAAGGAACAAATTACTAAGAACAACACCGTTTTACATTTTATAGATATTTGATATTACCGCGTATTTCCGCTGACTGGATATTTCCATGTTGGGAAAATCTCGCAACTAAAGCCACATTTACTATTCGCATCAAGCATACCAGTAGTGAAACAGCTCTTTCAAATATACGTGATAAACAAGTGGAAACATCTCAAGTTTATACATATACTTTATTCCGTACACCTTTAATATCCACTCGTGCCGTAGCAACAGTAGTCGTACCTTCTGAATATACCAACTTTCCCTTCATGTCAGATACACTTAGCATACACAGCAGAGTACAAGTGGAAAACGACATTTCATACGCACNACTTCTTATACGTCATATTACGTTTTTTATTAGACTCAAGAGAAGGGATGTTACACCAATCTCACACGTGCAGTATATAGCACTTTCAACATACTACAGCTACGAAACTATAATAACTACTGGACTTGTCCTTTTCAGGTAAAATATATTATTCAAACAATTAGCTTACAACAAATATATCCACATGATGTAAACGACAGAAGTGCATTAACGACACTACTATTTTTAGAGAGGCTGATATTGCATACAATAAAGAAATTGATTCGTTTAGAAGAAAACTAGAAGTAACATGTTTGGTTGCACGCAGTGTGATACAAGAAGCGTTCAGTAATTGGTTAATTACACCTAAACAGTCTGATTCTTGGTTTATCGAAGGATTTTTGACATTTTACGGAGTTTATCTAGTCGATCAGGTAATACTTGCATTTTCAAGTCTGTAACTTTTACACACCGAGAAAAAATGAAAAAATCATGTTATCATGTAGGATTATATGTAAATTGGATGTACTTTCGTATGATTGTATAATCTTTTATCTAAGTCAAATATGATTTTATGCGATCGCGTAATATCAGATCCAAAATTTGGCGCGATCTGAATTTATATGATCATATATAAATACTTACATTATGTACGATAGTATATGATTGCTTNTATTTATATATGATCATATAAAATCAGATCGCGCCAAACTTCGGATTTCATTTTACACGATTACATAAAATCGCATCCAACTTATGGAAAATCATATTTGACTTATATAAAACTTCACATGATCATACAAGATTGTATCCGATTCACATGTAATTCTATATGATCACATAAATTTCAATTTTTTTTCGAAACACTAAAATATGTNTTGAAATNAAACGTATTTTAATATAACATATATGTACCATAGATGTTTACTGCAAACCGAGAGAGAAGAATAATATGTATTATGTAGTGATTTTAGACATTTTGGTGAAAGATGTTATTGTGACATTGCTTTTTTAATGTTTATATNATACACAAAACTTCTTGACTAATGTTAGTAATCATAATTTGCTTATACTAGAAGGATTTCTATACTTGATACCAAAAATTTAGTAATACAACTTTGTATTACTAAACAATTAAAAAATCTTTTCAGGCTCTGAAGTTTCTAAACTAATAAATATATATTCGGTCATGAGAGCCGTTCACTAGGATGTTGTGCGGAAATTATACGTGTATATATATCCATATATACGTGTTTACATGTAAATTTTTACACGTGAAATTCGAATTGAAACACACATATATATGGATATATGGATATATATACACGTATAATTTCCGCACAACATCCTAGCAAACGGCTCTCATGACCGAATATATATTTATTGTATTACTAAGTTCATTTAAAAAGAACTACCGAAGTTAAAATATACATATGCATAATCATATAAACTGTTGGTAGATTTACAGTGAGACTTTCCTGATGTCGATTGTGGTTCAGACACGACGAATGATTTTTGAATATACACAAGCATTTACTGAATATTATTATTTAATACAAGATAATCCATTTCTCAAAAACGAAACTTTTGATAAAATGTGGAAAGATAGAGGTAAGAAAAATTGTTATTTAAAACTCAAATAAAATAATCCAACTATCACTTTATGTTATAGGATTTAATATTTTCTATATGATGAATAACTTATTCAGTATCAAAAATGTTCTAAACGACTTTATTTTTGAGAAAGCGATACATTTGTATAACACGTGAGTATTAGAGTTATATTATAAATTAATCATTAAAATAAAAAATTGTGCGTTTAAGCATAATATTCTACGTAACGTGGAAACTTCTTCAAATATTCAATACGTTTAAGACACCTAAAATCGATGTAATTTTTGGTTTGTTATCTGTTGTTACCAATAGTAGTACATCAAGTCAAACATATAAGGAACATTTTACTCTTGATAGTATATGGAACAATATAACGTTTGTGCCATCCATATATAACAACATGTATTTGAAGAATATAAATATAACAAATGTGATAACTTCATGGATAACACAATATGGTTATCCTGTAGTACAAGTAAAACGAGAAAATGATACACAATTTCTAGAAATTATGATTCAAGATTGTGTTACGGTTAAACAACAAAACAAGTGTGCATACAAGTGGTGGATACCTATAATCTACCTAAAAATTTCAAGAAACACGTTTACTACTAATTATGTGTACCTAAAACCAGACGGCACAAGTATTTTTCTTGCGAATATTGAAGAAGATGATTTTATCATAATCACGGGACAAAATGGTAATACAATATCAAGAAAGTATGACTGTAATGTTTTATTTAGTCTCTACAGTATATTTGAAGTTTTTAACATTGTAACATTTATGCTTTGGTTGCTTTATTTTTCTTGGTTTTCTTTTTCTTAACTTTTGTATTTGTAATGTTTTTATTCAAACATTTATTTGTAGGTTATCGTGTCAACTATGATCGTAAATCTTTAGAAAATATTGCTCTTTTCCTAAAAAGTAAAAAACCTGAGACTTGGGTTGCATTTAATTTAACTGACGTCACTTTAGCACAAATTCTTGACGATGCTTTTTATTTTTTAATACAAAATACAAAGTATATTGTACCTCGTGCTGCAAATATTGAAAATATAGACATATTTTTCACTCTTGCAAGCAATGTAGTTCGCGGAAAGCATTCGTACATAGTGTGGCATTCCATATTTACAACTCTTCAATACATATCAAAGATTTTGCCATTCCCGGAAAATGCAAAGATCAAGGTACATATTTTTCCAGTGCAATAAGAAAGAACACTAGTAAAAAATCCTAATCAGCAACTACATGAAAGAAACTTTCAGTGAACTAGTTTTATAATATACAGTTTATACGTTACGTTTTCTTCTGCAGTCGTCTTTAATCACCTGAAAACAGAAAAAATACTATAAAATAATTTAGAAAAGTACCTATATATAGTAAAGTAACTTTACAAAACAATAATTAATATGCGATGATTCTTAAATAACTATTTTTTTAATTTAGTAAGGATTTACAGAGTAATCGAAATATATTAATACACGCTACACTTTTTTTATAGACTAAAGTCCTAGAAATATTAAATAATTCTTTTGTAACTACATCACATAAAAATGTTTCCGAGAATACTGTCAGTAATCAAGTATATCACGAAGTTTTAAGATGGACATGCATTCTTGGTGGCTCACAGTGCAAAGAACATGTCAATGCTATATTACAGTGGCATTTAGAAAATCCTGTACATCACAGGTACGTTTTTATATTTCTCTCAAAGTGACGTCACTATAACGTTACTNTAACACAATATGGTTATCCTGTAGTACAAGTAAAACGAGAAAATGATACACAATTTCTAGAAATTATGATTCAAGATTGTGTTACGGTTAAACAACAAAACAAGTGTGCATACAAGTGGTGGATACCTATAATCTACCTAAAAATTTCAAGAAACACGTTTACTACTAATTATGTGTACCTAAAACCAGACGGCACAAGTATTTTTCTTGCGAATATTGAAGAAGATGATTTTATCATAATCACGGGACAAAATGGTAATACAATATCAAGAAAGTATGACTGTAATGTTTTATTTAGTCTCTACAGTATATTTGAAGTTTTTAACATTGTAACATTTATGCTTTGGTTGCTTTATTTTTCTTGGTTTTCTTTTTCTTAACTTTTGTATTTGTAATGTTTTTATTCAAACATTTATTTGTAGGTTATCGTGTCAACTATGATCGTAAATCTTTAGAAAATATTGCTCTTTTCCTAAAAAGTAAAAAACCTGAGACTTGGGTTGCATTTAATTTAACTGACGTCACTTTAGCACAAATTCTTGACGATGCTTTTTATTTTTTAATACAAAATACAAAGTATATTGTACCTCGTGCTGCAAATATTGAAAATATAGACATATTTTTCACTCTTGCAAGCAATGTAGTTCGCGGAAAGCATTCGTACATAGTGTGGCATTCCATATTTACAACTCTTCAATACATATCAAAGATTTTGCCATTCCCGGAAAATGCAAAGATCAAGGTACATATTTTTCCAGTGCAATAAGAAAGAACACTAGTAAAAAATCCTAATCAGCAACTACATGAAAGAAACTTTCAGTGAACTAGTTTTATAATATACAGTTTATACGTTACGTTTTCTTCTGCAGTCGTCTTTAATCACCTGAAAACAGAAAAAATACTATAAAATAATTTAGAAAAGTACCTATATATAGTAAAGTAACTTTACAAAACAATAATTAATATGCGATGATTCTTAAATAACTATTTTTTTAATTTAGTAAGGATTTACAGAGTAATCGAAATATATTAATACACGCTACACTTTTTTTATAGACTAAAGTCCTAGAAATATTAAATAATTCTTTTGTAACTACATCACATAAAAATGTTTCCGAGAATACTGTCAGTAATCAAGTATATCACGAAGTTTTAAGATGGACATGCATTCTTGGTGGCTCACAGTGCAAAGAACATGTCAATGCTATATTACAGTGGCATTTAGAAAATCCTGTACATCACAGGTACGTTTTTATATTTCTCTCAAAGTGACGTCACTATAACGTTACTGAGCTTTTTATACATCGCACATAGTATTATAGAACTGTAAATTAAATGTTGATATTATAATATTGTATTGACAATAAACATTCGCGAATGAATTATTCTTTAAAGAAAATTCCATAAATGTATAGTAAATACATATTAGAAAATACATAGATTTGGTAATTGTAAGTATAAATTTATATAAAACTTTAAATAAATATGACGTCAAAACACACCTTGATTCTACGGTTATAATAAACATACTTTAAAATGTGACATGAGTGGTAATACATCATTACGATACCAGAAAAAAAAACTAAACACATTTGAGTGATACGTGTGTAAGTAGAATTATATATGTTTGTTAATATTTCCAGACTTTTGCCAAGTTGGCACAAATGGATATACTGCCAAGGTTTAAGTTTAGAAAATGCTACTTATACGTCTGATTTGTGGCAAAACATAGAGAAAATATATGTAACCCAGCGAAACTTAAAAAATATGTTTGAATTGTCACCTTGTTCTGGGCATAATATTTTGCAATCTTTACGTTTTATTAATCTACAAAACAAAAGGACGTCTATTTATATTCTACTCGATAGTGTAGCAAAATATTCAAAAGATGTTACATTGTTGAAAAGTATAATACACGAAATAAGAATTGTTGCAAGGTATAGAATGTTTTGTACATAAAAGTGCTTATATTTATATTGTACAAATAAATAATATAAAATATATTCTATATAGTCTGTATATTTAGTTAAAAATATTTACTTGATATACATTGTTTTATTATATCATGTGTAAGAATACTTATGTTGTATGTACATAAAAATTTCATTTACTAAGTATCTATTGTTTGTTCTTTTTTTGTAGACAATCTATCACAGACAATCTATTTGCACTGTTCACTTTTATTATTAACAACACTTATTCAGAAGAAAATCTTGAAAAGGTATGATATATGAACTTATTTGTTTCTTGTTACTTTGTAAATGTAAACCATAAATCATATAGATATACATATGTATAAGCATGCGTGTGTATTAAAAGTATAATAGTACTTTATATATCTTTAATTTTGTTTAGCATATTAAAAAAATATATGTAGTGTATAAGAATCTTATATCGTAAAATCAGTTATCAAATTCAATGTTACTAACTTAAGTTTTTTCAGATTATAGCCTTGTTTTTTGAAGAACTGAGTAACATATCTAATGTGGAGAAGGTAAAAAATTTTTTTTAAATATAAAAATATAGATTTCTAAATAATTTTTCTTTGTGCATTGCTTTCTACTTGTTTAAATCAAAATTTATGTTTATCTTATATATAAACTGGTTTTTTTGGCTATAGTTTTGTATGTTTTACAAAAGTGTATTTTTTAACGTTCTCAGATTTACGCAAAAGTATGATACAAGATGTTATTGTAACTGTATTTTGTTTTTTGTAGGCAATACTTGTCAAAATTAGAGAAAAAGTTAAAAGTCGTCGTACGATGTTAAATAGAATGAAAATGTTTTAAAGAAACTGATAAACATTTTCTACTAACCGCACGAATTATTTAGTTCTATGACTACATAAAATTTTTTAGTATATATAGTAGTCTATTGCATTACTTAAATACAAAAGAGTATTCACGTGTTACGTTTAGTACTAGAGTTAGTGTTTTGTATAAGAAACCTCAATTTATTTTATGACATTAATAAGTATTTATGAATTATGTTAAAAATCAGATTTATACGATACGGATTTTAATAATTTGCAAAGTGGTCATAAACTAAATTCGAGTCTCTTTAATAAGATGAATAATAATATACTGATATTTATCTTACACCATTGTTACTATGTAAACCTTTAAATATAACCACCGTCGCAGACATGAATACTTAGCATACGCTTGATGAAAAACACGATATTAAGGTATAAAACTGTAAAATGTAAAGGAAACAAGACAATACTCTGTATCAAACAGTGTTATATATGTATATCGAGCTATCCCGAGAAAAAATGGAAAATCATGTGATGATATAAGATTATATGGAAATTGGATGCACTTTTGTATGATTGTGTAAACTTTTATATAAGTCGAATATGATTTTATATAAGTTAGATATGATTTTATGTGATAGTGTACAATGAGATCTGAAGTTTGGCGCGATCTGATTTTCTATAATCATATATACATATAAGAAATCATATACTATCGTACATAATTTTATATATTTATATAAAAGTATATAATATTTAAAATTATATAATATTTATCAAATTTTAAAATATTTATATATTTATATAACATATGTTTATATAACATATTTATATAACATTTATATATTTATATAACAGCGTGCTCGCGCAGGTAGAGTGCAACGTCGTTGCGCGTGAACTTGGCGCGAGGTATTACCGTGCCTCTTGATGATTATATAAAATCAGATTGCGCCAAATTTCGGATCTGATTTTACACAATCACATAAAATCATATCTAACTTATATAAAATCATATTTGACTTTTATAAATACTTACGATCATTCAAAATTACATTTGATCCACATATAATCTTCAATGACCACATAATTTTCCACTTTTTTTCGCAATGTTACTTATTCAAACAATTAGTATTTCTTGTTATGTACTTAGAAAACTGTAAATGATAATTTAGGTTTAATTTACTGTAATAATTTATTCTTTTCTTTTTATTAATTGATATGTGTGTTTCCAAAAAAATATTATTTACATACTTACTTATAATAAAAATTGTATTTGCAAACTAAAGTTTGTTTGTTAATTTTTAAAACTTTCGCACTTTTTAGAAATACGCAATATTTTCAAGTAAAGCTATGTAGAAAGATTTTTATAAAATATATTTTTTTTTTGAATACCCAAACTATTTGCAATAACTTTTTAAATAATACAGATTTGCGATAAAACAGTAAATAATACGCAATGTATGCTTTTGCATTTAAGACCATTGCACGTGACACAATTTTAGTCGTAATCGTAAAATTTGAAGGAGTGTTGCTTACAATCTTACTCGTGAAAAACTAGATTTGATCTAAATTATTTAGATTAAATCCACATTAAATCCAAATAAATATAAATTATATCTAAATAGATACAAAGTACATCTAAATAAATATAAATTAGATTTATATAAATATAACTAAATGTATGTAAATTTACACTTTTATATATATATACAGGGTGTCTCATAACGAACGAATCAGCCGAAGTGTGTAGGTAGATCGGGTCAATCCGAACAGAAAAGTTATTTACCATTTTGCAAAATGTGCAATAGTTATTAAGATATGACATAATAAATGTGAGCCAATGAGCGCGCGGGGGGCAATGATCGGACTCTAGGGGTACCCCTCGCTCGCCGCTGTTCGCGGCGTACCGCCTAATATCGCCCGATCGCAAGAAGCTGAGTCGCGCCGCGCTTGTTTGTTTCTCCGCCTCTCATTGCTATGACATTGCATGAAAGAAGCCATTTTTCTTTACAGCTGATAATCGTGCACGCCTATAGAGTCCGATCATTGCCCCCCGCGCGCTCATTGGCTCACATTTATTAATTCATATCTTAATAACTATTGCACATTTTGCAAAATGGTAAATAACTTTTCTGTTCGGATTGACCCGATCTACCTACACACTTCGGCTGATTCGTTCGTTATGAGACACCCTGTATATATATATATATATATATTAGTAGATCTACTTTAAATTTACTTAGATCTACTATAGATATACGTACAAGTAGATTATTTCAGATCTGTATAGATTTGCTTAGATCTAAATAAATCGACACAGAATATAAATCGTAAAACTACAGACATTGTAGATTATTGATAAATATGCACCCATATGCTGAGTTATCAAAAGCTTTCTAAATTGTTATATAAAAAAATTTACGCATATTGGTCACATACATTTATGATTGCCATTTATATATTAAACTAAGCAAAAAGTTTTTATTTTTTTGTATAATAACTTCTTGTTATACTTGCGGCTTAATTTGCACTTAAATTTTTTTTTTACAATACACCATATATTTATAGATACAAACTATAGAAAAAATGGAAACTCATGTGATCATATACAGGGTGTCTGACAAAAAACTATAAAGCCGATGTGTGTAGGTAGATCGAGTTATTCTGAACAGAAAAGTTATATACCATTTTGCAAAATTCGCAATATTTATTGAGATATGAATTAATAAATGTGAACCAATAAAGGCGCGGGGAGCGATGATTGGACTCTTTAGGCGTGCACCTACACACGTCGGCTTTATAGTTCGTTGTCAGACACCCTGTATATGAGCGATATNTAGTAATATCTGCGTGTGATCCGCACACTCAGTGGTTATTACACACAGTAGTTTTTCCAATACTATCTAAAGAGCCAGTAATGTCCGCTTGTATTCCGCTGCTAAAAGTTATTACAGATACAATAATATTCGCCTCGATCATTACAGAGCCGCCATATTAATCACACGACCGCATGTAATAATCACACAGCCGGCAGTAGTTCTTTTTCGTAAGGGCAATTATTC